ACCATTGATACCATGCATGAGTATTTTAATATCTTTTATAGTATTAGACATCATGTTAGTCTAACAAGAACTAACAAAAATATCTTCATGAATCCATTGTATTTCATCAACATTCAGACCTTTAAATGAAATCAGTTTATTATAGGCAATAAAACTTAATAGTAAATCATGTGCTAGATTATCAACTGTAGCACACATAACTGTAAGAGGTGTTTACACAGTAGTTGGTTGTGAACTCATGCCTAAACTTACATTTATTAAAGGTGCATTAAGCTTCTTTCCAAAAGCAGATTTTAAAATTACACTTCCACATGCTTTCTTATAATAATCTGGTACGACAATACACTTTATAATGTTGATCTGTGTGACAGACTTAAGGACAGCTTTTAACACTTATTTATCCCATTATATTTATTTATTATATTCTACTTGTACTGTAATAAAAGAATCAAAATGACTGTTAATTTTGTTAGACCTATCCTTTAAACTTATGAAAGCAGCAGTTGATATATTTGCTGTCAATAAATGATTTTTTTTATTTGTTTTTGTTTTGTTTTACTACACTTATCAATTTCCACATTTTGCTTTCCAGAATTACATAAAGATGTATGATGAAGTTTACTGTCTAATTTACAATAGAATTTTACTCTGCAATCTTTCACTATATGCCTCTTGCCAAATAATTTGTAACACTGGATCTGTCCTTTTAATTTTTCTCTTTTGAAGTGTACGTCGATATCCGAGCAATTTCTTGTTCTGTGGCTTAATAATTCACAAAATAAACATGTTTTAGACATCAACAAGATGCTGAAAGGCTTTTTATTAGTCAGTTGTGTATATTCACACTGCTGCTGTTAACAATCTACATCAGTTCGTGACGACTTGTTAGGGCTACACCAAAACTTTTGATTTTGTGTAATCGTCCTACATCTACATTGAACACGTTTGCTCTCTTCTGAGCTCACAATTCATTTTTGAAGAATTATAGAAATTAATTTACATTGAAACATACCTCATCATCATTCATATGACTATTTTCTAATCCCAGATCTGCTGAAATCATTCTGAATGAAACTGGAATCAATGTATTGTTATCCGTTTGGGATAACATTTATATTTACGAGTTTTTGCATATGTGCATTTGCGATAACATTGCATCTTCCAAAATTTCACAAACTTCAAATTTGTATTGTTGCATCATAATTTCCTTTAGATGTTGGAAAACCTATAATATTGGCAACAGTCCACTTAAGTAGGATTTTAAGTAATTAAATTTTTCTACTTTCAAAAGGGTAATATTGTTATGTATCATGATTTTAAATGAATTTCAAAAACTTATTCATTGATTGGCATCACCATAAAATTTAGAGATCTCTAATGCAAGAAGGTGAACTTGACAATTTTCACTCTTGTATTCATTTTACCTAACATTCAAGTTTGTTTTGTGTTCTAGACTAGATTTTAAATATTTGTTTATTCTAGATTTACATAAAATCATTTTATCCTAAAATTATTTTTTCATTATAATTCATAGAACTTTTAATCTCCATTTTAAATTTCTTTTCATCAGCTATCAAAGATACAATTTCATCCAAATTATACATTTCTTATTCTTTTCCAATTAAGAATATTCTAATAAATTTTCATTCAGTATCACTATTATTTTTTATAACGTCATTTACCTTGTTTATAATGTTAGCTATTCACGCTCTGAAAGCTTCATGCTTCTTGAGTGTTTTCATTTTATCTATTTTAACATACACAATGTAAAATACATAACTTTAGAAGTCCTTGTACACTTTATAATCCAACTCAAAGATAAGATTAACCCTTTTTTCACATGATAAATAAAACTTGATATTTCTTGCTTCTTTTACCTTTATTATGCCATTATTCTATTTCACTTTTCTGAAACCAATTTGTTGTGACCAATGATTGTGGGTTCTTTTTGTCTCTTATTTGGCATCATTAATAAAATAAACTTGTATTCTTTAAAATGCTTTTATTCATTATAACACAATATAATAATTGTATTTCACATACAATACTCACATCTCTAATTAAGATTTTCTTTTCTTAAAAAAAATTCAGTGCGTTCTGCATAACCCATTTTTCTGTTCTCTGCATCTCGCTGGCTCTGGCAGCTTCACTATTTATAGAGGGCGCTAGTGCCTCACAAGCACATAAATAGATAAACAAATAAATAAAAACTACACATAGTTACATTTATTATATTACCAGATTAATGTATTAAACTATACACTGTAACCAAAGCAAACAGGACCTACTGCTTTCCTCAATGGTCATCGCTATACTTTAAACACATTAAAAACAGTTTAAGCAATCTTATTTGGCATTTGTTACTTGAAGCAGTCTTATTCCACATTTGTCATCAGTCATTTTACTGCTAGAATAAGATATAAAAGACACATTAGCCACCCTATTTTTCATTCACACAAACACTGTCTTTGATGTCTCTTAACAAGACTAGAGATTTGTTCCCATTGTTGACAAATCATCACAATACAGCAAGGTGGCATAGACATTCCATTGTCTAAGTTCTGACACCAGAGCAGGATCAATAAAATTCATCTGATGATTTACTGTTACTAGGATAGATTATGTGACTCACACTCATAACCAAAGGCAAATACAAGGTAGGTCACATGCTGCAAGATACCAAAAATTCATTATTTGGGGGAAAAGGATATGTCTGACTAGTAACAGAAACACAGATGAAAAATGTTAGACACAGATGGCACACATACTTGTTGCTAGCACTTCTAGAATGCCATCTAGCAATAAATGACACAATTATTACAACTGAAATTTAATATGATGTTTACTTGATGCATGTGGCTTTTTGGTCTCTCCACATATACCTGTGTTAACACATCACTAAACAAAAATGTGTTTATGGCTTATTACTTTCATATGCTACTTATTCATTTTAACATTTCTAAACATCTGAAAAGAAATATAAAAGAGAAATTTCATTCTATTGCATGGTTACAAAACCTTATAAGCAAGCATAAATGAGCTTAATCTACTTTAAGCATTGTACATCTACAACCTGAATAAAAGCGTCTAAACCTAAATAAAATGTTCTGAATAAAAACAGAGTTTTTTTTTTTTTTTTTTTTTTTTTTTTTTTTTTTTTAAGGGAAAAAAAAAAAACCTTGCATGCATGATTAAAATACTCATATTCATGTTTACTTTATATATATAAATTCTGCTAAATTTTAACTTTAGAAATCTATTTACAATGTTTATTATCAGTTTTGCATTTTCTTTGGTTCGTTTTGGTAAAAAGGGCATTAGCTAAGAAATGCTATAAATTTCATTTTGGCATTTTGCGATGAAAACTTTAAATGCCATATCACTTTTCAAACTGTTACCACCAAATATTATCGCCCTGTGTTATATTAAAAAAAAATTAAATAAAGAAGCATTTCCATAAATGTATGTATGTTTCTCACATTTTGATAAAACAACAGTACCTACAGCCATCAAATTTTGAATAATGTAATTTTCCACCGAATATGGGCATCTGGAAGTCCTGATTTGGAATTTGTTTCATTACCGATTTCCTACTTTGTAACACTTCAGCGAATTTTTTATTAACAAACTCAACAATTTCAAAGTGAGCAATGGCAAAACTGTACCGGGGGGATTACCTCTACCACGCAGGACTGCGTATCAGAAATTCTAAAGATATGCTCATTTTAAAATTAGTTTTGGATATTGCTATTGAATTGAATTTTATGGTTTAAGTGTAAAGAACATGATATTTAAAAGTCCCTTTGGGCGTAATGCAAAAGCTGAAGGCTTTAAGATTTTTTTCTTAAAAAAGTATTCACTTAACCCCTGGTTTTTAATTTATCCAATGGTTTTTCTGGCTTCTTATTATGATAATTCTTACTTTAGAGTATTTATTTTTATTTTATGGTTTCAGGGCAGCAGTTTAATTCTTGATGGTTAATTAAAATTTTTAAAATAATTATTCTTATTTTACACTTTATTGCATTTTCAACTGCGTTTACATTACATTTAATTAAATTTGCAATACATTTAATTAATTTCATTTTATTCGGCACTTTTTAAAAAAAATGTTATGAATTTATAATCAGTCAGATAAAATTCAAATGTATGACTCTGTTGAAAATTCTTCAGCTGCTCCTTGAAAAAGATCAAAGAAAGTTCAATAGAACCTTAATGCTTAATTTTGAGTATTTCCCTTTTCTATTCTAAGAATAATAATAATTATTTCTGAATTTTTAGATCAATCCATATATATGAGATACATAATGTAGATGATGTAGCTAATTTGGAACTTAACTCAAAATTTCGAGAGGCCCACCAGCGGCGGAGCGGTAAAGTCAGTGAACACTGGTAGTTCGGTCCGAGGTTTCAATCCCGCGAACGGGCTGGCTGCATGGATGTTTTCGTGGTTTTCTCCATGTTCAATGTGTATACAAGCCAGTTTCCCTTAGAAAGTCCTCCACGAAGGCATCCCTCCCCTTAGGCAGATAGCCCTAGTGTACACCACCAAAATTTCGAGAACCGAAACTTTCTCTTAATAAGCTACTATACCGGATAACTGTGCAATCTGCTTCTACCTCTGTTCTCTCTAAGAGGCTGCTACAGGCTTTTCGCCCTATTGCAACACTATCTAAACTGTAATGGTTTTGGATATGCATGATTAATTGATGAAGTATTTATAACTGCAAAATGTTTACCTACAATAAAAGAAATGCAATTTAAATCTAACATGACTGCATTTTATTGCATGTATATGAGTTCTAAGTTTTCTCTTCATTCCAGATCTACTATGCATGTTTCAATATCTATCTGTATCATTCCCATATTGTCACATATGTTATTTATAATTTATAAAATAACCTATGATAAAAATAATTAATTATATCTGTTACAAAATTTAGCTACACGAGGAGAATACATATTTACAAGACACATAAACCATCTAAAAGATACATTACACAGTTTGGGAATTCCCACTGAATCCATGTTGCACAAGACTCCTTTCTGATGGTACAAAGCTGGGGTTCGTGAATCAATTTCACAGCAACTTCATTCGAAATTACGACTGCTAGCTATAAAATATTAGTTTTTACTTAAGTCACACCAAACATCAAAAATAGCAAAAGAAACATTACCATTTTAATTTAAAAGATATAATGTATCTTAAAAAAATAATATTAAAAAATACAAGAAAATGCAAATTGTACAATTTGATTACATAAATACAAATAATTCAAAAGGGTTTGATGTTTCTTAAGTTTTAAATACTTATTTTTCATATATATCAATCTTAAATATATTTATCTAAATCAATTCTAAATATATAAAAGAAAAATATATATTGAAATAAAGCAATAATAGTTTAGGGGTTTTCCAAACTGTCTCTGCTGCATACTTTTAAAATTATTTTCTGCATTCTTTCACAGCTTTTCACTCTGTTACAAGAAGTTTCTCAATATCAGTTACATAAAATTGCATAATACAGATTTTATTACATTTTATGATGTTACACAAATCTAGAAATAATGTTGCTTTATATAATATGTGCCATTACTATTATTCTCATAATATTTTTTAATGAAATAAGCGATTTTAATGTTTTTCAAATTTAATTTGAGGCAACTTTTAAGGATTTTCAACTTTCTACCCAATGTTTTTGAATGCAAGAGCGCTATGAAATGCATACAAATTGGCAATGAATAGCATTGAAGATTATCAGTTTTATAATTTAAATGATTTACAAATGATTAGGAATAATTTAATGATATAACTGCTTAGTAGGATATGAAAATAAAAAATTATTTGTTAAATTTGAATTTTGTTCAAAGATCTTACACACTGCAGGGTCACTGTAACGCATTAGGGAATTCGGATATCGTCAAGGGGCAAAAGGTTCAGAAAAACAGCAAAAATTTTAATTAAAATATGAAATATAATATTATGGGCCCGTTTACTTTTTTATAGTAATTCCAGCTTCATAGAACATTGTACATTCAGTTTGCTTAACAGATAAAAATGAAATTACAGTAGTATTATCTGTAAGGGGCGCTTCTATTTAAGGGACAATTCTGTTGACCATGGTCTCTTTGAATAGGTATCTTAATGTATTTAGCTTTTATTATGAGAGACTCTATTTAAGGAACATTGAAAAAAGCTTCAAAAAAAAAAATAGAGGTATAGAAATAAATAAAAATAGAAATACACTTTGTTAACTTGTTCACACAAGATCAGCAAAAGATAGTTTCATGATGAGGAAACGATCAGATGAAAAATTAATCCCTCTTTCTTGAAAACTACTTTTCCACAGGAAAAGGTGAACAATACACTGAGAGAAAGCAAACTGTGGTTCAATTAAAAGGATATTTCACATTCATAGAATTCAAAATCCAGCTAGTCTTGCTACAGTTTTCAGTAGGAAGAAGAAAACAGTGATAGCAAGTCCTAAGGGAATCCGAGACTGCGATAAATGGGAAAGAAAAGGTGGTGAGATGACTGGACCATCTGCCAAGGCACAGGGATCTCACAGTGTGAATAGAGTGAAAACTTCAGTCATTCTTAGTTCTTGCTATGACTGGGGAGCAAAAGAAGTGTAGTTTTGTACTTGTTTGTTATTTTTACATATATTATCTAGCATGGCATCAAAGAGGAAAAGATTAATATTAAAACAAAAAGCTGATGTAACCCATAGAACAGAAATTAGTTTGAGAGATTTAGGGCAGAAATTTGGAATAACTAGAAACCAAGTAAGTCACGTGTTACAGGATAGAGAAGAAATAAAAATATTATGGATTACTAATTCAAATGAACATTTTAAGATCATAAAATTTAGAAAACTGAAGCATGTGAAATTCATACAGTAATGTGTTCAATTGAGTTTATTCTGTAAATGTAAGCAATATTCCTGTAAGTGGAATATTACTACCAGAAAAGATAAAAGAAGTTTCAGAAAGTCTGGCACTAAAGAGCTTCAAAACATCAAATGATTGGTATGATAAATTTAAGTATTTATAAATTTAAGTATCAAGACAATTTGTGGTAAAGAAAAATCAGTACACATGCAACACACTGGATAAAAAAGCTAAATGAAGTTTGTGAAGGATATGAGATCACAAACATCTACAATGCAGATGAATATTATTTTATTGAATTTTGCATAATAAAACTCTATGTTTCAAAGGGAAAAAGTGCTACAGTGACAAAAGCTCCAAAAAAAGGTCTCACTGTGCTACTTTGCTGTAACATGGAAGGGGAGATTGAGAAACCACTTATAACCAAAAAAAAAAACCAAAGAACCAAGACACTTTAAACACATCAATCCAAAAGATTTATCAGTCCATTGGCATCATAATAAAAAGTTATGGCTGATGCAAAGCATAATGTCAGGATGGTTGATATTTCTTGAAACAATGTCTAGAAAAAATAGAAAAATTCTGCTAGTTCTTGACAATTCGCCAGCGTACGCATCAAACATAAGCTGAAATTAGTGTTTTTCCCACGTAATGCAACATCTGTATTATAGCTTTTGGACCAAGGTATTATTAGAAACTTCATGGCTCATTACAGACAACTGTTTATAAACATGTTCTTTGCAGAAACAGTGATGAGATTGCAAAATGTGTCAATGTACTGAATGCCATTCAGTGGATAGTAAAGGCTGTTTAATCCATACCTTTTTTCAACACTGTTTTAAGAAAGCAGGTTTTAAAATTAAAGTTTTGAGTGCTACTATTAGTAGTACTCAAACTACTACTTTGAGTGTGTTTTGAGTGCTAAAGTGAAAATACTACTAACGAAAATGGATTGTCTGAACTTGTCACAATCAGTGGCACTGCTCAAATACAAGAATATTTAGAAATCAATGAAAACTTGTATATGAAAGACACCAATAATGACATAAAATCTTTTATTTCAATTTATGTAGTTGATAATGTGAATTTAAAGGAAAAACAAAAAAGAGTTCAGAAAGCAGTGAAGTAGACAAAAAAAAAAAAAAAGTGTTACATAAAAACCTTAAAAGATGCCCACAGAATCTTTAACCAGAGATGTCTTAAAAATAAGCCTTTCAATTAAAAAAAAAATCCGTGATAACTAGGGATGATAGTGAAAAACTTAACATAATCAGTAACTTGTAATTGTAATACCCATGTGGAAAAAAATGCTTGTAATACGTAGAGTTTCAAACAAACCCATGTAACATATTTTCAATAAATTTCTGTAAATTCATACATTTTTGCAATAATTTATTATTTTTAATTAAGAGTTTTCATTTTTCATTAACTGTGGATTCAGATAAATGCTGTGACTGTGTTACTTATTTATATATAATTTATTTAAAGTTTGATACAACCTGCATTTCTAATTAAATTATACAGTGCATCCGTAAAGTCATGGTGCACTTTTGATCTATCACAGGAGAGCACAAAACAAGATAGAAATGTGAAATCTTCACCAAACAAAAGGAAAACTCTCCAACTTTCCATAGTACGATTTATAAGTATGTGAGCACACAGGTGATGACGCAACACCGCGAACTGTGAAGCAGCAGTCCAGGCCTATGCCAGTTGAGATGTGGACCGTACAGAGAAAAGTTCAGTGTGTTCTGTGGCTTGCCAAATTCGAATCTGTGACCAAAGTGCAACGTGAATATCATCACGTGAACAATGACCCGCCAGCTCATAGGAATAACATTAATTAGTGGGATAAGAAGTTGAAGGACACTGGCAGTTTGTTGGACAAATCCCGTTTTGACAGGCCATCAGTCAGCGATGAGAGGCTATATGGAAGAGTTACCTGGAAGAAGCAATGGTTATGGAAGAAGCCCTTACAAACTGCAGCTGTTGGATGCTATCAAACTGATGGATAGACACAAGAGATTCGCGTTTGCTACAGATATTCATCATAAGATTGACAATGATAACCGATTTCTGCAAACGATTGTGTTTAGCGATGAGGCAACATTCCATGTTAGTGGACATTTTCATCAGAAAATCCTCATGCTACTTAGAGTACAAATGTAACAGCCCTAAAGTGCACGTGTGGTGTGGCCTGATGCATGATAAAGTGATAGGACCATTTTTCTTTGCGGAGTAGACTGTGACGGCATGGATGGAGCCCACATCGAACTGCACTGAATAGATATAAAACTTTAAGAGGTTTTTCTTTTGTTTGGTGAAGATTTCCCATTTTTATCTTGTTTTTGTTGCTTTCCTGTGACCAATCAAAAGTGCATCATGACTTTACGGACGCACTATACTTTTTTAATATGTATTCACTGAAGAATGGACACCTCTACTTAAGTGATAAAATGTCTAGTTCCAGTGAATATTCCTTATTGGCAGTACATAATATGCATTTATATTTATGTTTTATATATTCCTGTATTGTTTTAGTTCCTCTATAATTGTAATTAGAATAGTGGCATTATATAAATTTCACAGATTCATAATTAAAATTATTGAACCAAATAATTGATTTATTTAAAAATAATTGAATTAGTAAGATTTGTTTTTACAAAAAATTTTAAAAACTAGTTAGACAAAATTTAAAATAATCAAAAAAAAAGGGGGGACTTCAATCTGATCAAATTTAGTTGACATTAAAAAACCAAAAGTTAGAAAAGAGTGCATGACTTTAAAACAGAAGGTGAAATTCATTTTTTTATTCAACAGGTGTATCAATGCAAAGCATTAGTTGTATTACTGTTTAGTTTGATATATGATGATTTCAAAAAATAAAAGAGAAATCACAAAAATAGTGATAACACATTAAAAAATAAGCTAATCTGTATAAAATTTGAATATGTTGTTAAATTAGAATTGCTGAGTATAATTGTAGTATGCATTGCAATCAAAATATGTCATTTGCGAGGAGCAAAAAATTGCATGTTTCAGAGCCTGCAAATTTTGTTGTAATACTGAGATAGCCAATTTGTAACAATAAACTCCAGGCATCATTTGCCTGAAGAACTGCAATAGAGAGCTATTGGGAGACTAGAGGCAGGAAAAAGTCAGATAGAAGTGGCCAGATGGCTAAATGCGAGTCCTTCTGTCATTCATAGGACAATTTCTAACAATTGCAACAATTTCTAACCACAGATTCATCATCAAAGTGGTTTAGCCAAGGATGACCAACCACTACGATGAGCACTAATGATCGATATTTGCTGTTACGTGCACGAAGGAATAAAAATTCATCTCCGACTGAACTCTAATCATTTGCTGCAGCCACAGGAAGGTTGGTGTCAATGTCAACCATGCATAGAAAGGCTTTACAAAAGAGGTCTGCAAACGAGGTGATCAGCCATTTGCATGCCGCTTATGTCACATCAAAAAAGGGAACGTTTGAGGTGGGCATGTCAACATCTCCACTGGCCAGCTGATCATTGGAGAGCTGTTCTCTTTAAGGGTGAGTCCAGGTTTAGCCTCCAAAGCGAAAGCAATCGTTATTTGATTTGGATAGAACCTGGAACCCATTATCATTTACCAAATGTCTGTGAAAGAGATGCATATGGAGAAGGCAGTGTCTTTGTTTGGGGTGGCATCTCTCTGGATGAATGCACAGACCTCTATATCTTTCCACATGGAACCATGAATGCTTAGACATACAGAGATGACATCCTTTACGCTTATGTGTGCCCTTATGCGGGACAATAGGTGATAATTTCCTGCTACAGGAAAATGCTAGACCGCACAGGACTCTCATCGTGGATGATTATCTTCAGCAGCAAACAATTCAGTGCATAATAGAGAGTGGCCAGCTTGATCACCAGACCTGATTCATATCAAGTATGCTTGGGATGCTTTAGATAGATGTATAACTGCTCTTCAGACTTTTGCCATGCTTGAAATTGCTTTGCAAGAACAATGGCTCTCACTTCCTACGGAACTGATTGACTGCATAATTGACAGCATTACACATCACTGCACATGTTGTATTGCTCCTAGTGGAGATCAAATTCCATACTGAAAATAATTTTCCTATACCAAACTGACACCTCAGATTTGTTCATTTTATATATATATGCTAACTTCTATAACACCATAACTATCTAGTAATTTCTTCTTGTGTCATTTTATACTCTATTATGCATTGTATGCTGTGGGTAGGTTTCATTAAATTCTACAGGTAACTTTTTGAATAATCGTATTTTTTTTTACTTTTCCTATAACATGATGACCAGAGCATATAAATGCTCAAAAGGTAAATAAATACACAATTATAGTAATTAATAAATGCCAATTTAAAAATATAAAAGAAATTATTAAATGTGGTTTGGATTGCATAACTTTATGAAAATCGTAATATATTTTTGCATATTGAACTTAACTAAATTGATAGGAAGAAACATATACTTAATATGAGACCAAATGAATCAATAATTTGCTTTGAAAAAGTATTTGCATAGGAATCTAAACTCATGTTTATTTGCATAGAAATCTAAAGTCATACTTATGTGCATAAGATTATAATTTCTGAAATGGTGCTTTTGGAAAGAATCCATTAAATGTTAACACAGTCAAAATGGCAACAATAGTGTTATATTCACAATTACATGAATGTGTTTCCTGCATGTTTTCTCAAGAACAAGTTCATGGTTTAAATCTAAATTTGAAAAAGCAGATTGAATATCCTTTTCATCAATTTTAACAAAGACAAAATTATTACTAGAGTGCATTTAAAATTTTCTGAAGCTCTGGAATCTTGGATAAAAAAATAAGAAGACATTTATCCAGGAAACACATGAAGAAATATTTTCCTCAACTGAACAGCCCTTTTAAAAGCAATTAGTTAATACCCTCTTCATGATATCTAAAAGGAAAAGAGAAAATTAAAGAAACGAGTACCTCATACTTTGGATCAATAGAAAACATGTTTTCTTTCTTGATAGGCAATCTCGAAGCTAACCTATAATTATTATTTTGTATTATTTTGTATTCAACTCTTTTAAGGAAAAAATTTCCAACATATAGAAAATGAGAAATTAATAAAATAATTTTAAAAATTTTGTAAATTAGCAAATTAACACAAATGGGGTTTAAAGAAGTGAAATTCCCACATGCACATATATTTTTCAAAGCAGCAGTATAATATTTTCGAAATATTTTAATAAATAATAATGGTACAGCTGCCAATCTTGAAATATGAAAAACCCAGACTTGGGAGGTTTCTAAGTTCTGTGGCTGCATCATTTCAAAAGAACTCCAAACTGAAAAAGGCAATATTTAAAAATTAGTTTCAAATAAGATATATATAGCAATTATGCTTAAACCACAAGATAGTTTTTCTCTAATCTGGGGTTTAATATAGCAACTGAGTATGTCTTTTTAAAGGTTCTATTTTATAAAATTTTTTCATGTTATGTTTTTCTTGTAATTCTATTCCTTCCATCAGCCTCTCCTCCAGAACACAAAGCAGGTAAAGTTTACTAGCAAGCAAACGCATCACAGAAAATTTTGGTAATAATACATCAAGAAAGAAATTTAGATCACGAGCCATCCACCCAACTTCTGAGTCGGGCATAAGCAAGCATTCTTTCATATTAGCTGACACATAGAGGCTACATATAGTTATACGAGGGCTATCCAGAAAGTAGATTACGTTTTGGAATAAAAAAATAAACAAAGTATAGGAAACAAATTTTATTATATACAGATGAAAGCCACACTCAAATACTACTTTTCTACATAGTCACCATACAAATTAAGGCATTTATCGTAGCGATGTACGAGCTTGGAAATTCCTTCGTCGAAAAATTCGGCCGCCTGCGCCTTCAACCACTTCGTTACCTCTTCTTGCAGCTGTGCGTCGTCATCAAAACGCTGCATAGCCAGCCACTTCTTCATTGCTGGGAATAGGTGGAAGTCGCTCGGTGCCAGGTCGGGACTGTACGGTGGATGAGGAAACAACTCCCACTTAAAAGATTCAAGAACTTTACGAGTGACATTTGCCGTGTGGGGCCGGGCGTTGTCGTGAATCAACAAGATCTTAGAGCTCAACATTCCTCTGCGCTTGTTTTGAATTGCTCTTCTGAGTTTTTGGAGAGTTTGGCAATACCTTTGAGAGTTTTATGTAGTGCCTCTTTCCAGGAAGTCCACCAAAATTACACCTTTTCTGTCCCCAAAAAACAGTCGCCATCATCTTCCTTGCCGACATTGTTTGCATGCATTCTTGGGTTTTGGGGAGAACTTGTGTGCCCCCACTGCATTGATTGCAATTTCGTTTCACAGTTCACATGTTTCACCCATGTTTCGTCACCAGTAACGATGCGATCGAGTAAAGAGTCACCATCCTTATGGTAAGCGTCCAAAAAGTTCAACGCTGCAGCCATTCGCTGATTTTTGTGGTCCTCTGTCAAGATTTTTGGAATCCATCTTGCACAAAACTTGTGGGTAACCAAGCTTTTCGCTGATGATTTCGTGCAACAAACTTCGCGAAATTTGTGTGGAAAACTCAAAGAAAGTTCCGTTATTGTGAAATTTCGATTTTCACGGACTTTAGCATCGACTTTTTCGAGAAGTTCGGCGGTCACTATGCTGGGTCTCCCACTTCGATCTTCGTCGTGAACATTGGTTCGGCCATTTTGAAATCTTATGACCCACTGACGCACTCCACCTTCAGTGATAATGTTGTCCCCATACACTTCACGAAGCTGCCGATAGATTTCTATCGGTTTACAGTTTTTTGCAGTCAGAAACCTTATTACTGAGCGCACCTCGCAGCTCGCGGGATTTTCAATTAACGCAGACATTTCAAACCGTCACAGTATCTGAACGGAGCACAGCACGAACCTCTCACTAGCACGGCTAGATGCAGACTGAGCTGCGCAACGCTCTGACCCCAAGATGGCCGCGCTAGCCCCGCCCCTAGCGGACACAGACGGAAACGTAATCTACTTCCTGGATGGCCCTTGTAGTATGGTAATTTAGGCACTGAACTCAACTGTGTTTGGACATTTAAATATTAGAATTTCTGTTATCTGCAGGTAGCAATGACTAATTTTTGTTCAGTCTTAGCATACCAACAAGATGTAGTGTTCATTAACTTTCACCTCAAATCCATGTTCTTAAAAGAACTTACGGGTAAATTATGGGAGAAAACAAAAAGTAATACCAAGCAAAAGAAGGTTAAACTTGGAGTAGCCAATAGGTAGTTAGGTTTAGACTTCCGAATTCAGATTAGAGTATTCTTCCTTAGGGCCCTATCACTTCTATGGACGCGCACGCTTACCCGGGACAATCCCGAGAAACGAGATTCTAGTAGCACGGCTTTAAGCGGCAGGCTTCCGAGAAATGTTTCGTCTAGCTAGGAGGAACATGTCCCGGCTACGAGCAACATTTTAAAATGTGTCCGAAAATGTTGCGGCTGGAGACGTGTTCCTCGAGCGTTCAACCAATCAGACGAAAGTTCTGCTTCTGAAGGATCCCGGGTAACTTTCAATACTTTCAATAATGATGTTTGCCAGAGGAATAACCTGTAAGTTGGCTCTCACTGTGAAGTGATGGACGGTGGAAATAGAGGCCGATTTAATTATTGCTGTTTTGTTGTAATACTACTGCCTGAGTCATTTTTTAAATGTGTATATATTCATTAAATATATAATCGTGGAAATTTCAGAGTTGACAGTATTTTACGACGTTCTTGCAGTTCGGATTTGTTTACAAATTGTTCGTCGCCAAAAGTTCACCAAATGTGTTGTATTTCGTGCTGATCATGTATTATCACTGTTATATAATAGAATTTTATTTCTTAAATTTAAGTTGAATATTTTTTTTTAAATCCATTTGTATATGCACGTGTTTATCTGTTACTTGAAGTGCCAAAAGTGGAGATCAAAGTGATTATCTTGATAGCAATCACCTTTCTATTATCTTCCATTGCTAACAATAAAGTTTAAAACGAAAAGAGTGTGAGGAATACAAAACAACACGGAAGAAGCAAACGTCACTTCAAAGGAAACGTCACTTTCGCCAATCTGGGCGATAACTGATTCTTGTTTGGCTTTCAGCCTGTTTACCAAGTGAAGATGGTAACCCTATTTCGCCAAAGGCCATTTCTCAGAACTGTTGCTGCAAACGTTTTGTTCCGGGAACAAATATCGTATGTGATAAGGGTTTTAGATGCAAGTGGAACAGAAATATTATTAAAATGTAAGTAAAATTCTACCTATAGCTAAATCTGGCTGGTAAATTGTTAAAGCTAAGAATAAAGATGAATTGCAATTAAACATAGCCAATTATCACTTTATTACTTTAAGCTCCGAATAGCCTAGTCTTCACCTATTTACAAAGTGTCAATAAATCTGTAACACATAAATGTCTATCAAAGCAAATTGTAACAATAATTTGGACAACTGATGTAAAATCCTACGCTTTGAAAAACACAGACATTTAAATTTACCTTTTAATTAAACTAAAACTCAAGAAGAACCCAGCAGCAGTGTGTGGATACAAAATGGAAGTTTCTTTGTCAGCAGATGCAAAGTGGTGTATTATAGTAGGCTCTGCATCTCTCAGTGCATAGCCAACAAAGACATCCTAAATGGAAAACATAATAAATAAAAACATTTCTATATTATGAATATATAATCATACAAGTAATATGGAGGAAACAATGATAGACATTATTTCATACTATGGAATTTTTATTATAAGATAGTCATGATATATGAGGTCTGTACCAAAAGAAATGAGACAATTATGATCAGCCAATCAGAAAGATTGGGGTCGGGTCTAGGATGCAAGGTAATAGATGAGGAATGCTAAGCATTTAATGATACCCAACTCAGTTGCCTAAACAACATTACAGCATTCCTATCACTATCGCAAAATAAAAAATCTGATGTGTACACCACATGACTTCCTTGTACGAAATATTAAATTATACGCATTTTTTCTTGCATTTCATTTAAACTTATTGGATTGAATTAAATCTACTTCGCCGACAGCGCATAAACCACAATGGAATAAATGAATTCTTTAAAATTCACTCTAGTATTTGTTTACAATAGCGACACTCTGGCGCTAGATTTACTTAACAGTATTATATTTCGTTCATATTATAACTCATAATGCACAAAATTTATATCATTTAAAGAATAGAATTATCTAATCCTTGCCACAAGTTCTATTCAAATACTATAATAAAGCTAGAACGATGTATAAAAGAAATTAAGCAAACAAACAAAAAAGAAACAGTGGTTAATCTTTGGATTATGGTAACTTGGCGATTTGTTGGCGAAAATGTGACGACCAACCCTGCTACAGCAACCTGCTAGTTTTTGTTTGGACGGCATTTTGTTTTCACAAAGTAAAGGCATTTTTTTTTTTTAAACATTTTTTTCCAACAATCTGCTAGCCAAATTACACTTATGCTAGAACTTTTATGGAGCAAAAGTGCTTAATTATGACAAAGATTAGGTGCGAAATTGGGACAAAGTGCAGAATCGCCCACTGCTTGCCGCGTTTTTACGAATTACACATACACGGTATCATCCATGTACACGTCGACCTATTTTCACTTAAAAAAACATCCCAGAATTGCACAAAACTGGCATTGTGCACACTCTTGGCTATATCCATGTACACTGCTAAAGTCCTAGCTAATAACCTTTATCGCCTTACCAAAATGTCGCCAAACTACCTGTTACCATATTCCAAAGATTAGCCGAAACAGTTTTTCACAGACGGTTGAGTATTCCTCATTCAATTAATTCAGTTCTCACTTTGCAAGAAGGCAAAAATACATAAAAACTCAAAATATCTATATTAAAAATTACAAAGTAAATCTTAAACACTTATTTCCTCGACAAAATTCCAGAAAAGATTAAGTATGATTTAATTGGCAATAATAAATGAAGGCGTTATCTTTGTTGTTGCGAAGCTACGTTTCTCTAGATTGGCACCAAATCCACTAGTCTGTTGTTTCAAATGTAAACAAACAACGGTCGCCATCAAGAAAAGGATTAAGCTTAGCGCCACTTAAACAACTTTAAAATTGTTGATAATTCTAAAAATATTGCATAGAGATTTAACTAAAGGCATAAAAACATAACCAGAAGATAAAAACAACATAATTCAATCATTTTTAAAGCAAAAAATGTACAATTTACAAACATATAAGAGTAAAGAAACAGATCACTGAGCCGGGTAACAGAGTGGATATATATATAAATATATTTATGTACGTTTGGTGCGGCCAATCGCAACCAAAATAGGAGGTGCACATCTACATGTTATAGCAGTCCTATATACAAAATTTCAAAGTTCTGAGGCTACTCGTTTTTGAGTTATGCGAGATACGTACGTTCATACATTTGTACAGACGCCACGAAAAATTCTCTTCAGAATTCATTTTAAAGCAGTTTTATAATTTTTTTGGAGGAAAAGAGTCTTTTACTCTGTCCTTACATACAGATATCCCGCAAAAACAATGTTAAATTGCATTCGATAGCAGTCAAATTGGATATTTTCGTTGAAATATGCTGCCTGAAACTTTTCGCGATTACAATACTTCCTTTTTACTTCGTACAAGGAAGTAAAAAGCGTTCGGATGTCCCATTATTAATAGAAAACAGAATGTGGTCTGGAGCAGCAGCACACGACACACTTTTATGCACGTCAAGCTAGGTAAATCCATACTGATATCAAATTAAGACAAAAGAACAGAGGTAATATTTTGTTGAAAGAATGTGCAAAGGAGACATAACATATTTAAATAAGAGAACGAAAATGTAGATTGTGTACAAGCTCGGAACTCCCCAAAATGTGGTTTTATATGAAGTCTGGGTTACAGTCGACTTGGCATTTGAGTGTGAGGTTAATTAAAGTACAATGTTGGACCTGTCGAAATCACGTATGCAACATATTGGAAGTACAAATAAGTCTCCACCGTCTGACAAAATATTGTGCCACCAAGTAAGTTATGGTTAAAACTGTTTGATGTAAAACATCATATCATGAGGCTGGACACCTAATAACAACAGAACCTTGAAATATTAGTGATTTTGTATCATCGTCATATGTTTTTTCATGCAAAAATATCCAGTTTTGAACCAAATGAGTGTCATTTCCAGGAACTTTTAATTCACTTTTTTAATTTGAAAAAATTTGCAGCTGAGGTGCATAGCTTGTACAAGCATACGAGTTGCCTTAGTTAAAGAAATTGTGAGCGGTTTCAAAAGTTTAAGAATGGTGAATCTGATATCGGAGACACAGATCAAAGTGCAAGGATGAAATTATATGAAGATGGGGAAGTGGAAGCATCACTGGATGAAGATTTAATGCCAAATGCAAGTAGAACTTGCACTTACATTAGGAGTGAATCAAAAAGTATTTCACATTGTATAAAATCATCAGGAATGATTCAAAAAGCAAGAATGTGGGTTCCATGCGAATTGAAGCTGAAAACCCTTGAACACCGATTATTTATACGTGAAATACTGCTTGCCAGGTATAAATGAAAGAGTTCTTTTTTTTTTTTTCATCATATAGTCACTTTTGATGAAAAATGTATCCACTATAATAATCCAAAGACAAGAATTCATGGGGACCACTTCGCCATGCTTCAACATCGAAAGCCAAGCCGAATAGTCATGGAAAAATATCATGTTGTCCAAATGGTGGGATCAACTTAACAGAATTGATGAGACTGAGCCCAGCACTCATAGAAAAATGCATCCACTACTATTCCAGACATTACAAAATTATTCTCCTGCATCGTAACACTCATCCACATGTGGCAGCGCCAGTCAAAACCTGCTCAGAAACACTCAAATGAGAAGTTTTTCTCTTCCGGCTGCATTCCCCAGACTTGTATTACTTGACTTAATATTACTTGTTTCGATTGAGGATGCATGGGTTGTCTGAGCAATGCTATATATCATATGAAGATACGAAAAATTGCTTTGATTTGTGAACAGCCTCGAAAGATGAAAGCTTTCTTCCAACATGATATTCGCATGCTGCCAGAAAGATGTGAAAAAATAGTGGCTAATGATGGATAATACTTTGAATAAAATATAACATTCCGTTCTTTCACAATAAACACCCAATTTTTGATAAAAATAGTGAAGAATTATTTGTACTCCTAATATTATAACAGGCAATATGAACATGCAAAAGGTTTCAGCAAGAGCACATTTTCAAGATTTTGACAGATAAAATGAAGAAAGTTGCATACCTGTCATGTAGCCTTGCATTTTTCACGAATTTTTGGATTGTAAAACAAATGAGCTTGACTTTCTAACTTCTTTGCATTCCTCAAGTTCAAGGAGAACTTTAACCCTCCTAAGGGTTATGGATGTAAAATTCCATACTAAAGGATAGTTTTCAATTCATTACACAAAAAAATTTCTGCTAACTTCTACTGTATCTGATTTTGAGCTGGATGTATATAGGAAGAAAAGAAATTATTAAAGTGAGAGGTGTTGTTTTAGAATTATAATCATGAAAATACCATTTATTCATAATATTTTGAACACTGAAACTTCAATGCCAAACCCATAACACTGAGAGGATAACCTCTTTAATGGTATGCTCAGAAAAATTCTGGGTTTTGCTCTACTGCCCAAGATGTCCTATCCCAGAAGATTTCCATGATAAGGCACTGCTGAAAGGGTTAAAGAGCACCATTTTGGGACAACTGAAAAGATCCAAGTAACTATGAAATCATTGCACTGATGTTCAAAGATTCTGCTTTGAAGAATACTGAATAAATCAGGATGTATTTTGCAAATACTTTTCTTTCCGCGATTTAGAGAATTCTCATTTCTTTTGAGACACACCCTGCACTTTTGTTTCAATATAAGCAGAAAGAAACACATAAGCATTTCACTAAAGAATTTTAGAAAAGAAATAAAATTGCAGACTAATAATAAAAAGAACAATGGTACAGCACAGCTTTTCAGAACAAAATGCATAAAATTTTTAGTCAAAACTTTATGATTTGGATTTTCCAAAATTTATATCTTTTCGTTTTTTACTGCTTTAATGCTTTTTCTCTGAAAAGCCTTCTCTGTTGCTAAGCCTTTTTTTTTTTAAAGAGGGGCATATAAATAAAAATTACAATTTAAATTAGCATAGCCCCTTGATTCATTTTTCAATTTGGGCAGTTCCCCTATATATTTTTAAAGTAGTAATATCTCTTCTTGCACTGTGTCATTTCCAGATTAATCCATGTCATATGAGTTTTACAGAAGAGTAGTGACATAAATAAAACTCAAATTGCCAATAAAAATTTTACAGCATTATTAATTATCCAACCAAATGCATTGAAACCAAAACTAACTCATTTTGACTTCAGATTTAATCCAGAACACAAGGCACTTTGCTTTTACAAGTTTCTTCTTCATTTCCAGATCTATTGTGCATGCTTCGCCAACTACACGCATCATTCCCAAATCACCAAATTTAATTAAAAGATAGAAAAGTATGAAACTCAAAATTACCAACTGTAATATGGCTACATTCCCTTCCTGTCTTGAATCTAAAGGGAATTATAAAGGCATCAACTGAAAATTAATGCATTTCATGTCTCTTATGTAATCAAGCTGTAGTGTGATGGCTCTCAGCTAATCAGATTACAGAAATATTTTAATCTGATTGGCCGTTGCTGATGTATAACCTTTTTTCCTACTTCACCCGCTGCCACTTATGTCAATTATTCTGAAAATGCATTCTGTATAAAATTATGGGGTGCACAGCATACCCATAATGATGATGTGTAATGGAAAAGAATATATATCCTAAGAATTAGCTATCAAGGAATAAAATTATGTGAGGAAATTATGGCTATGTCTGTCTTCAGGTGTCATCCTTTTAACTACAAAGTAAAGCCTTCAAGTTATTACAATCAATGTAAAGAATCATTGCCAATCCATTACAGCTATTCTCTAAATCATCCCATTACATATATAAATATATGAGCATGTGTATCTACACACCACACAGAAGATCCAAAACATTATGACCACCTACTCAACACATTGCACAACCTCGGTCTGCAAAATAGCTGCAACTTGCTTTGGCATGGATGCAACAAATTGTTAGTAGATGACCAAACAGGTTGTACCAAATGTCTAAGCAGCGGTCACGCAAAGTCGAGCTATTCTGACATAGTGGTGTTTGAGCTCTGAGTTGCCACTCCATGACATTCAAATTGTGCTCTATCGGGTTAAATCTAGCAAGTTAAGCAGTAAGGGTGCAAGTGATCCGCAGTTATGTTCAGATAGCCCGCAGTTTTCACAGTCTGTTCTACCACAACTATAAAGGTCCCAGAGGCACCCATGAGAACGTTCCCCAAAGCATAATACTGCCACCAACAGCCTGCTCTACAAGGGGGCAGCACCTGTTCACCTGCAAGATGGTGTACCCTGACATGACCATCGATATGATGAATAAGAAATCATAATTCATGAACCAGGCAAGGGCCCGTGACAATTAGCCGAAAATCACTTAACCGACAGGACATTTAACCGACATGGACAGTTAGCCGATAAGACATTTAGCCAAAAAGGACACTTAACCGACAGGACAGTTAGCTGACATGGACAGTTAGCCGACGGGACATTTAGCCGACGAGGACACTTCGCCGACACAGAGAGTTAGCCGTTAGGACATTTAGCTACGGGACACTTAACTGTCAAGACCTTTAGTCAACATGACACTAAGGTAACAGTGACATTTAGCTGACATGTACCCAATAATTATTTAAACTTACTACGAATTACAAAATTTCTCGACTTATCCACAAGTTCAATATTTAAGTTATTTTTTTCATTCTTAAAGATCTCATATGTGCTTTTAATCATTGGGATAATTTAGCATTGTTTGATATTTAGCACTGTTTGGTGTATATTGGCCAAATAGAGAAAGTGCTGAAATTTCTCATCAGGGAACATGAATTAAATTTTTGAAAGGAAAAAAAGAATTTTTTTAGCTAAGTACGGCTGAATTTTTAAGACAAGCAAAGGCATAAATTATTGACCTCTATAATGGGCTGTTCATGCCACCATACTTGAGATAAAAATTCTGTAACATTTTATTGACCACGCTTCTTGCTGAAAATCTTTACTTAGGTTAATATTTATAGCACTAAACTGGGTGCATTATGTTTAATTTAGAAGTAAAATAGTCTTTAAGGTTTTATTTCATTCATAAATTAATACAGTTCTGCAAAACCTACATTTTTCACTCTTCATATATCGAAAACGTTGCTGATATGATATTCCGGACATGGGAAAATCTCCGAAGAGAAACCACAGGAATCTGCAGAAGGAGGGGCACCAAGCAGGGCGGAGCTACGTGAGACATCCTGAAAAGTCACCGTAATGTGGTGCCATCTATTAATGCTAGATTTAACCAGTTTAGTCATGTAACTAGATAATATTATGTACTCTTTTGAAAGACGCAAAGTGTAATTTTCAATATAATATGTTATATTGTTTCATGTTTTTCTTATAAAATGTAATTTTCTTAATATCTGTTTAAAATGTATAAATTTTCATTTCACTTTTCATTAATTAAAATTTTTTTTTTCCCCTTTCATTCCTTCTCTTTCTGGTTTTTGTTTTAGCTACATGGTAATGGGAAAATTTTTGGCCCATTTTCCTGAATGCATTTACAAAGTTCTAACCTAAAAAGGCAATTTTCATTGGAAGAGACTGGTTATATATTAAGTAAAATAGACACTATTTCTGTTAGGCCCAACAACGGCAAAGCAGTTAAGTCACCGAACACTACGAAGAGGCTGCATGGTTGTTTTTGTGGTTTTTCCCATGTGTAACATGTATACAAGCCAGTTTTCCTTAGAAAGTCCTCCATAAAGGTATCCCTCCCCTTAGGCAGATACCCCTCTGGCTTTACCATAATTACATAAACCAAACCTACTTCTGTTAGGTGGCCGCAGGCAACAAGGGTATGAATTCCCGTGCCGGAGCCCCATCCCAGATTAATAAATATGCAATGCCTAGCCCGTAAATAGCATTCTGAGGGTGTAAATAGCATTTTAGATTTAAAAAAAAGTAGTTCCAGTATGGCGAGGAGTAGGACGAATCGCTCTACTTCCTGAAAGGAAAAGGAAATTGCATTAGTGGGAGGAGCGAAACGACTTTATACAGGAATGAATGTAGTGCAATGTGTTGAGCAAACTAGTAATGAAATGTGAATGCATTAGAAATCTAAAAGCATTGGGAAGAGTTAGACTCATTGTTGGCTTAATGTGATGTCGGCTAACTGTCTGTGCCGGCGAAGTGTCTTGTCGGCTAAGTATCCGTGTCGGCTAAATATCCTGTCGGCTAAGTGTCCATGCCAGCTAAGTGTCCTTGTCGGCTAACTGGTGTCCGTTAAGTGTCCCATCAGCTAACCGACCAGGCAACTGTCTTCCACTTATCCATGGTCTAACCTCGATGTTCCTGGGCCCAAACTGAGAATGATGCTTTGACAATAGAGGCATACAAGTGGGATGTCTGCTGTGCAGTCCCATATCTAACAGTATCTACTGAACTGTGTGCTCTCAAACACTTGCACTTGGACCTGCACAGTACTGGGCTATCAGCTGAGCCACTGTCTGATGCCAAGTTTGCTGTACCAAGTCTCTGACATCCATTTCCTTCGATGACACATGGACATCCAACAGCTTGCCTCTACTGCTGGTTTAACTGTCATTTATCCACTTCGCATAAATACTAACAATGGCAGATCGTGAACAACCTACCAATCGTGCAGTTTTAGAGATACTCATTCCAAGTCTTCGGGCTACTACAATCCGTCAAATTTTCTTAGCAGCAACCTTTTCCGTCACTCACAAAAGTAAGAGCAAGAATGATTCCTTACTTTCTCTAGCAGTAGTTAAATACCATTTCCACTAAATCACGTGCCCTCCACGTCATTCAGACAAATTCATGGAAACATGCAGGGATAGTTTTAATGTTTGGCTCATTAGTGTATGTTTGTGTGTCTGTGCGTGTGTGGAACCAAAAAGTATACAAAAGTAAAATGCTGCAAACTACATAACTTTATAAATAATTTACTAACCTCTGATGAATTATATTTTGCAAAAACCTTGATTAGCTTTTCAATATCTATAGCTGTAGTATCTTCTAAGAAAAATATCCAAGAAAATTCAGGTAATTTTGAAATCCTAGAAAGAGTAAACAAAAAGTTTCACTCAAGAGAATTTTCTTCAAATAACAAGCTACAGCATAAGCATACAACTAACTGGGTACTTACATACTTTTCCATTGATTGTGAAAGTTGGCAAAGACCCTGCCAATATTCTGCCAGTTATTCCAGTGGATGCAGATCATTTTGTATTTATTTAGATAATGATAAATTGCTCTTTAATTGGATAATCAAGAGATATCAGATACAAAAACATCATATAAAAACGAGAATAAATTTGAACTCAAGCTTCGATATTATCTCATAAACAATTTCATAAAATTACGGACAATCAATCCAAGGTGCCCAAAATTCTAGCAGGGTTTAAGATAGGTCAAAGTAAATAAATTTAAAGAAAAAAAAAAGACTATTCCTTTCATGAACATGGTGCTATATGAATTCACTTAGATATGAAGTGATTTTTTTTTGTGCCATTTTTCAAACTTCAAACTTTTAATGTTCTGAGTATGTGCACTTTATAACAGATCCCTAACTATGAAAAGATTCCACTACTTACTGATTGATCTGTAAAAAGCAGATTCCAAATTTAATTTTTTTTCCCAAAGTGTGAGGGAAAAACAGAGATATTCCAATTAACTCATATCCTTCTTTACAAAAACTAAGGGACTTACTGTATGTAAATCAGATCCACATAAAACTTAAGTGTAAATCCTATGAACGAGCTGCAATATCACGTGTATCCATCACGATTACCAAATTGTACTGTTTCGTGTCATTGTCAAATAATGATCCATGGCAAAATACATAAGTACTCCCAATTATTTTATTATTCTTAAAAACTTTGCATAGTGAATTGTTAGCTTGATGAGTCAAGATGTAAATAACTTGATGACCAAATTCCAGCAAAATAGCTTCTTTAGTGAAGTGTCGATTGATATACACTGAAGTGACAAAAGTCATGGGATACCTACTAATATTTTGTCGGTCCTCCTTTTGCCCGGCGAAGTGCAGCAACTCGGCGTGGCATGGACTCAACAAGTCGTTGGAAGTCCCCTGCAGGAATATTGAGCCATGCTGCCTCTATAGACGCCCATAATTGTAAAAGTGTTGACGGTGCAGGGTTTTGGGCACGAACTGACCTTTCGATGATGTCCCATAAATGTTCGATGGGATTCATGTCGGGCGATCTAGGTGGCCAGATCATTCGCTGGAATTGTCCAGAATGTTCTAACCAATCGCAAACAATTGTGGCGCAGTGACATTGTCCTCCATAAAAATCCCATCGTTGTTTGAGTATGTGAAGTCCATGAATGGCTGTAAGTGATCTCCAAGTAGCTGAAGGTATCCATTTCCAGTCAATGATCAGTTCAGTTGCACCAGAGGACCGAGTCCATGCCATGTTAAAAACAGCCCAGACCATTATGGAACCACCACCAGCTTGAACAGTGCCTTGTTGACAACTTAGGTCCATGGCTTTGTGGGGCCTGCGCCACACTCGAACCCTACCATCAGCTCTTACCAACTGAAATCGTGACTCATCTGACCAAGCCACGGTTTTCCATTCGTTTAGGGACCAACTGATATGCTCACGAGCCCACGAGAGTCGCTGCAGGCGATGTCGTGCTGTCAGTAAAGGCACTCGAGTCGGTCAGAATCTTAAACCCTGCTGGAATTCAGCTGGCATAGCCCAAGGAAGACAAATTTCGCCGCCCTGTCCTATCAGACACGTCCCTCGTACGTCCCACATTGATTTCAGCGGTTATTTGTCGCAGTGTTGCTTGTCTGTGAGCACTGACAACTCTACGCAGACGTCACTGGTCTCGGTCGTTAAGTGCAGGTGGTCGGCCCCTGCATTGTCCATGGTGGGATGTTATGCCGGAAATTAGATACTCTCGGCACACTCCTGACACTGTGGATCCCGAAATGTTGAATTCCCTAACGATATCCGAAATGGAATGACCCATTCGTCTAGCTCCAACTACCATTCCGTGTTCAAAATCTGTTAATTCTCGTCGTGCGGCCATAATCATGTCAAAGCCCCTTCACATGAATAACTTGAACACAAATGAAAGCCCTGCCAAAGCACTTCGCATTTATACATTTTCTACGCGATACTACTGCCATCTGTATATTTGCATATTGCTATCCCATGACTTTTGTCACTTCAGTGTAAATTCTGCTAATATATCAATTTTACTAAATAGCTGAATAAAACAAATAATTACATTAGGATACAAATCATAAAGTTGGCAGAAAATGCAATATTTAGCTCTAAAAGGTACTGTAGCAGATGTAGTATAGTATTTTTAGCACTTTTTTTTACTTGGGTATCAATATTGTGCTTAAAGATCTAAAAAAAAAAGAGGTCACTCACACTGTGCTGAAATTTGTTTATCAGAAATGTGAAAAAGTATAAAGAAAAGAGATAGTATGATTCTGTGATAATATATCACATTAACATAAAGAATATAAAGCATTACGATAATTACAAAAATTAATGGTTGTATTACGGTACAGAAATTTTGTAGTAATGTACCATATATTAATATAAAACAAAATTAAATACAAATATTAACTGACTTAAGATTGATTGAATCTTCATACAAAGTTCTACAAATGTGCACACTAGATTAAAGCAATTTGGTACTTCAGGATTAATGTGGCCACTGCATACGATTGGGATTAAGAGAAATTTATTCACATTTAAAATTAATTTACGGAATTTTAAAAAAAAATATGGCACACTTCAAAAATTATATGGGATACCATAATGTGGGAACATAATAAATAACATTTATTTATGTTCAATCTGAAATATTTACTTTTTTTTCAGAAATAAAATTTATTTACATCTACAAAAAGCAGCAGTTTCTTTCACAAATGCTAATTTAACAGTTGCTGCAATAAAAGAGTCAACATTCTGTCTTCTATGTAATTTCATTTAATGGCCATTTTTACACTTTTGCTCAAAATACAAAATTCCATGCTCTTGTAAGAAAACTACCACCGCTTTTTTAGTTGTTAGCAAGTTAAATATGGTGGAAATTTTAGAGGAAAAATTAATGACAAAAAATACATAAAAATGAATGATTTATTTGTTTTTTGCAGGGGTAGTAGTTGAAATATTTGTTTGAAATAATTTCTAAAGCACTGAAACAACACTGTAGCTGACATCTGTTATTTTTTGCCCTTCTTCAATCTTGCCAATAATACAGCCACATGTAAAATCATCTAAGTGATGTCAGGAAGACATACCGAAAATGACCAGTTCGTCAATTGATTCTTTCCTCATAAATTTTGCTTTTGAACAACAATGGTCAATCCTTTATATCTCTTATCAGCACATCGCATGATGAACAAATTCGGCAATCCAAAATTTGCATACGCACAACACATCTTACTACAACCTGTACTTATGCTAATTTCCACATTTTCCTGCCTTCCATTTTGTGGCTGCTACTTTCACCCATCCTTAGCAATTGTCCGCCAATGTACATAAAATAAAAAAATAAATGAAGAATATATATATTAACAAAATAAATCAACCTCACTTTTCAAACAGAGAATAAATAACCCAATGTCCTACAGTTATGTCAAGGTCCTTGTGAGTTTTATACACAGTAGCATTAACCTAAAAAATTAAAAATAAAACATCAATAAATAAAATTATTCTTACTCTTAAAAAACAATGTGTACTTATTCTTACTCTTAAAAATAATATACCATATTTATTCATACACTGTCCCTCACATTTTTCCCCTTACCATTTCAGCATAAGGTTCTGAAAAGTTTTTAAGTATTCAAGTAATTTCCCTCTTTTCCAAGGCATTCAGATAATGAGCTGCCCTAAATTTTAAAATGAATTTGTCCAAGTAGTACAGTCAAAAGTCGTTAATTCGGACACCCATAATCCGGAATGATCTATAATCCGGACCTCAAAGCTAAAAACTTTCTGCGCATGTGCCGCATCGGCACATGTGCACAGGCGTTTTACACGTGCACGTAAGAGCTCGACTACTGCGCATATGCGTGTGCGCAAGTGCAGAATACGTTTTCGCCTGTGCGTTTAATGTACAACGGACGGTACACTAAAATTATCTAATTATCTATTTCAGTTAATGTTAATGATTGCGTTGTTCCTTAATCTTCGAATTGGATCCTGCTTATTATTTTTTGCAGACTGTAAGAACAATTTTATAAAAGTAAACTTGAACTTTCGATTATGTCAAATAGAATTTCCGATGCTGGAACTTCCAAAGGATCTACAAAACGAAAGTATGTTTCGATGTCCAACAAACAAAAAGTGGAATTGCTGCAAAAAATGGATAAAGACATGAAGAATGTGACAGAAAGGTTAGTGAAAATGAAAAAATTTCGATTGACAAGTTAGTCGGTATTCTCGGCACAGCAATTAACGGGACTTGAACAGCGGAACTTTGTAACCTGAACAAGAAATTATGTCTTTTTATAGAATTAAAGAGAAAGTATTATCACATAAAATGAAAGCAACTTAAACAACTTACATTGAGAGAAATGTTTAATAAAGTAAACAAATAAATATTAAGCTTTTTTTTTTTTTTTTTTTTTTTTTTGCAAATTTTGATACCCTTTAGATCATAATTGTTCTTTATTTCATAAATTATGGTTTCATATTTTTAATTTTAGAATTTCTGCATGCCATCTTACGAGATGATCTATAATCCGGAAAAATCGATAATCCGGAATCGCCAAAGTCCCGACGAGTCCGGATTAACGACTTTTGACTGTATTTCATCTCGATATACTCTGTCTTTTATATGATTTAAATCAAATTCATTATAAATATCCCGAATACACATCAAAAAGTTTTCTGGTTGCAATTTTCTAATTTCGACTATGCATAATGTATGCTTTACGCATGCGTGCGTTGAAATGAATGTTTAATAAAGTAAACAAATAAATATTAAGCTTTTTTTTTTGGTAAATTTTGATACCCTTTAGATCATAATTGTTCTTTATTTCATAAATTACGGTTTCATATTTTTAATTTTATAATTTCTGCATGCTATCTTATCAGATTTAAACTGATGATCTATAATCCGGAAAAATCGATAATCCGGAATCGCTGAAGTCCCGACGAGTCCAGATTAATGACTTTTGACTGTAATTTATTTTCCCTTACTAATTGATTTCCACAAGGATTTGGGGTACATGAGTTCTGAATGATGAAGCAATAATAGTGAACACCTTACGGAAAACATGAGATATTTAATACTCTTGATGATTCTCAAATTATTGGATGTGGGAAGAGAGACTGAACAATAACAAAGATGATGACAATGGTGGCTACTTGCAAACTGTAGCAGATGACATAGATAGCAGTTTTAGTAGCAGTAAACGATTTGAGGTCTAGGGAATGGCAGCGGACGACAATAAGACTGACAAGATTCATGATGCAGGGAAGTAGAAATGAAGATACCTTATTACAAACTGTAACACTGGCATTACTATACATTCTTACTGGAATATAGGTTTCTTTTAAATAAGTAATACTGTGATGGTTACCAGTTTATCCATAATGAATTTTCAGTTTTATCATCTTACTGTAACCTTATCCTTCAAAATGATTTGCATAATTTTCCCCTCTCAATTTTTTGTACAATAAAACTAGTAAAAAAGAGCTCAAATACGAAAATAAGTACTGTATTTGGAATCTGATCACAATGTATGACACTTTTTTGTTAGTTATCATCGTACAAGCCTTTGGCAATGTTTGAAATTTGCATTTTACACAATGGGTGATAAAACCTAAATCTGCCAATTTTGGTGACAAATAAGAAATCTAAACCCTTTCTTTTATAAATTTAATTAGCAAAGAGCATCAATAATAATGACAATAATAGTAACTTTTAATAGCAGAGTTTTCTGTTATATTTTTACATTTCTCTCACAGTGCATTAATATTTCAATGCCATTTAAATATTTTAATCTGAAGTTCCTGACAGTGGAATATTTTATCTCCAGGTGCTCAAAATTTTGAAATATATAGCAAAATGGGTAAAAATGAAAACACAGAATATAAAATTATTAATAAACATCTGCACAACAAATGAAGCAAGCAAAGCAAGATTATAAAAATACAGTATTTCTTTGAGTTAAAATGATTAAGCATTATTATTTCTCAATAAATATAATTAGTTTTATTACTGTATCTAAATATTCATAATATGTTGTTTGAAGATATTTCACATAACTAAAACAAAAGCATAGCACTTTCAACAGTTTTTAATAACAGCACAGAATTAGTGTTGCAACTTATTTATTGATATCTCACGAATTGTTCTGGTAAGAGTACATTCATAATTTTTGTTTTTACAATATTCGATTAAGAATCAAAGTTTTATAAAAACTGAAAAATAAATGAAATATATAAATTTTATTCCAGAAATGTATTTCTCATAATAATACATTTATTCTTTACTGCAATCACATTAATTATGCAACAAATGAAAATGAATTGGTTCATGCCTTAAAGTAGCGCTTCTTAAACTGTGAGTCACAAATTCAAATGGCAAAGCAAAATGCTGTGGTTATGAAAATTTAATTCAGATACACGAGTTAAAAAAAAAACTGTATTAATGATGTTTTTTTAAAAAATTACAATAACTGGCATTAATGAGATTAATCACCTATCATAAAGAGCAGAAAAGAAATTTGTTGAGCTACTGTGTGACTCAAACTTGAAACTTGAGTTTTCACAAAAATACTCAATTAAATTCTGTATTGGAACTAGAATGAATTTTTTATATTTCTGAAATAGTATTAAATATTCTGCAGCTACTTAGTACCACATGTTAATATAAAGTGACAGTTTTGACTTTAACATCCAGTTACATCAAATACTGCACCAAGATTTCATTTGTTATGCAGCTAAAACAAGTATATTCTTCTCATTAAAACATGATTTTCTGTCATTAACTTTTGTACATCTGAAATAAATCCTAAAAATACTTCTTTTCATATGCATATTATTTACCAAAGAAATAACTCATTTATGAGAAAATATTTATTTTTACATCTTTTTTTCTATATTCAGTATCTGGGGTCATGAAAATTCTCGTTGCTAAAAAGGGATCATGACTGAAAAAGTTTAAGAAGTGTTGTCTCAAACAATAAATAATAAAATATCTGAAATGAGCACAATACTTGCCAAATTTAAATTCTTCACTTGAGAATATATATCTTTCTCTTTCAGTAAAGCCAATTTCTTATGATAACTGTTTTCTTGGCTAAGTATTAAAAATCCTATAATACACAAAAATATTTAGATTGCATAGTGTCATTATGTAGATGGGCTTAACAAAATTCATTATTCATTATTATTCATTAAATTATTCATTATTCATTATTATTATTCAAAATTAGATGGGCTTAACAAAATTCATTATTACTCACCCACACGTGCCATGCATGCAGTCAAAGCTAGGTTACCTATGAAAAAACAGAAGACTACGAAACAATATGGAAATTATAAATGCTAACTATTATTTTTCAGTAATGTATTATAACAAAAGTATTTAACTTACTGAATATCAAGCATAAACAGAGTTTCATAGTTGACCTAAATAAAAAAAAGTGTAAGACTGAGAAAAACTGAAATCTCACAAAAAAATTGTCAAGAGAACAAAGATTTTTATTTTTATACACATTATTTAATACAGTACAAAGTCCGAAATCCGGACTCATCGGGACTTCAGCGATTCCGGATTAAGGGTTTTTCCGGATTATAGATCATCAATTTAAATCTGGTAAGATAGCATACAGAAATTATACGATTCAAAATATGAAACCGTAATTTATGAAATAAAGAGCAATTATGGTCTAAAGGGTATCAGAATACACACAAAAAAAAAAAAAAAAAGAAAAAAGAAAAAGAAAAAGAAAGAAAGCTTTAATATTTTTTATTTACTTTATTAAACATTTCTTTGAATGCAAGTTGTTTAAGTTGCTTCATTTTTTGTGCTAAACACACATGCGTAAACATTAAATGTGCATGCGTAACATTAAACGTGCATGCGTAAAGCCTACCAAAAAAAAAAGTTTGTGGCTTTGAGGTCCAGATTATAGATCATTCCAGATTATGGATGTCCGGATTACAGACTTTGTACTGTATCTCATTATTCAGAAAAATACAGAATGCTTATCAGCAGTAAGTAAATAAATAACACAAAAAGAGTTGGCTGTAAATGTACTTATTAACTTGATAAATGGGGGACTCTAGCCTCTACAAACCATTACCAGTTTTATGCTTATGCTGAAGATTACCAGTTTTGTGCTTACGCTGAAGACTGGCTTACGCTGAAGGACATTATTAACCAATAAAATGGAAGTGCTCAAGATGTGAGTGAGCATGTATGCATATACATATGTAACAAAACTTGGATGAAGAAACTTGTCCTTTTCCTAGAGAAAAACACAAATATTTCTTCGGATATTCTCAATTTTTAACACTTTGATTGTTATTTGATGCACTACTTTACTGATCATTAGTTTTTTGCATAATAAACTTTTTCATTTCTACGTAACTTTAATTTTCTCTTCACCAAGTGATGGCGGATAAGTGAAATTTTTTTTCCACCTCTTTGATTCTGCAACTTCTCATCCTTTTTGTTGTTCCTGAATATTATTATACTTGATGCAAAGTAAAAGCATGCTTTTGTGAGCTGAGACTTTTCTTATTCAAAACAAGTCAAGATCTTGTCATAATAACTAGATATGGTAGATAGATGCATGAATTAGAAACTTGCAGACGTGGCTGAATTTGGTTTACTTTTTATCCATAGTTAACATACAGTTTTATTTAATCCAACACAAATCAAATTGGAACTACAGCGCCTTGTCTTAAGGAAGGTTTTACAGCCAATGAACTTGAACAATATACTTTTTGCAGGTAGCAGCACGTTGCTGTAACAAAGCAGAAGAGTGCAAAAAGACGCGAACAAGAAAAGCGAGAAAGGAAAGGAGGTGGCTGAAAGAGAACGAAACTGCACAGAAGACTTTTCATACAAATTACATTGCAAATCACACTACACGAATGTTGACATTAAACAAATTGAATTTCAGATACATAGCATTAGTCATATGTTATACACACAATGCTGATAAGATTTCATCGACTTCAGGGAATAATTATGCAACAGAGATAAGACGGTGGTTTACTTTTCAGAAGCTTATATTAGAAAAGTTACTGCTCCACTATTTTTAGAAAGAATATGGCATAGAGTTAAAGAGCTATTCCTAATTTATTCATAGAAAGGCAGGTATTTTATATTTTACCAGAGTCGTAGCTAGGGTTTTCAGTGCCCAGGCACAACTGAAGATTTCGTGCCCCCTACTGCTTGCCAAGGATGGAAAACATTTAATTCTAAAATGTTGTAACATCAGTTTGGCGCCCCTTCGATTCTGCGCCCAGGGACAGATGCCCCCCTTGCCCCCTCTAGCTACGCCCCTGTATTTCACACACACACATATATACATATATATATATATGTGTGTGTGTGTGTGTGTGAATATATATATATATATATATATATATGGCATAAAGTAAGAAATTTGGAAATGTTTCACAAAGACCAAAATTTTTTTAAATTCAGAATTAATAAATTTCAAATAATCCTATAAATGCAACAAAGAATTTAATAAATGTTAAAACCCAAACTTTTAAAGAAACAATATCAAACTTTAAGGGAACTGTAAGGAATACAGTCAATCAATCGAAATTTCTCTTCTACAAAAATCTTTCCTTTTCTGCATCCAGAATCAGCCGATGAACCATTTCAATGTATTTTAATTATACTAATTCACCGGAAATATATACATATATACACACACATTTTCATAATTGTGCAACAGACCTCAGATGACGGATTACTTTTCAGAATTACAGGAAATAAAGCTTACATTAGAAAAGTTATTGCTTTGCTATTTTAGAATGAAGATGGGAGTAAAGACCAATTCTTAATTTATTACTAGAAAGACAGGTAGGTATTTTATATTTTACACATACATACGTATGTGTATATATATATATATACATACACACATACACATATACATACACACATATATATGTTACCGTGAAAGACCGAAACCGGAGAATATCAACATTCACCAAATACGTTGGTTGAAAGACCGAATATTTCACTACATTCTTGTATATTCGGACCCTCACCAGTGTATGTCGGCAATCACAGATATGCTCTGGTGAAAGTCGAACTTCTATTATTTACCTTTCTCATTTTGAATGTATTGTGTGTTTTAGGTTCTCATGTTCTTACTTCAAGTCTCAAGTGCGTTTATTAGCGACTGAATTACGGAGAAGAAAATATAATATTGTTATATGTTCAACATTCACCATTAGTACATGGCGAATGTCGACATTGAGCCGGTGTAAGTCAGAAATAAGAGTATTTGGAAAATATTTCGGACATACACCAAGAGACTATGTGAATGTTGACATTCACCGGTGAAAGTCAACATTCTCCAGATTTCGGTCTTTCACTTTAACATATACACATACTTTTCATATATCTTGAAAATGTCAACATAAAAGGATCATTAAATTAGATATTATATACAGCTATAAATTCAAATCAAAAAGAATTCAGAATTAAACAGTTATACAGCTATAAATCTTGCATACAGCATAATCTTTTAGAGCTATTCTTTAATATTCCTTAAGAGCATTCTTCTTCCGTAACTAAGACGTTTTAACAAAGATTTCTAATTTACTAAAGAAACTATCTTACCCGTCTAAGTTATTGAAATTTTAAAAGGAATGACCAGTTGGTGCTCTCGACTAGTGTAAATCTAATATAACATCGCTGCTGACGCATCGGATCTTGATTTCTGTGCACAGTATGCAATGTAGAAAGTTTGGATTACCTCAATCTGCGCATAACCCAGTTACTGCAGGAATGAAACACTACTTCATATATTTCTTCAAAATAACTTACAACGTATCCAAAAATATTCTAATATTCAGAAAGTCGCCTTCCCCTCCCCCCAATTTAGCATCAGTAATCTTCATATATAGATATATAGAACTAGTATAATCTACTAGGAGGATAAAAAGAACATCATCATTTTTATTGCACTTAATATTTATTAATTATTATAAGTTTGACAGACAGACAAAGTAGACAGATGTCTTGTTTTGCACCCGCTAAGTCTTTCTGCACTGATGGGTGAAAAATCAAGCATAGGTGCGAAGGAAAGGTATATAGAAAGGGGGCAATTTCGTATTTGAGGAGAGTAAAAAGGGAACTTCGTACATCTTGCACAAGTTCAAAAGGTCAGGAAGAAAAGATGGGACAAAATAAAATTTAAAATAAATGGCCAAAAATAATAGAGAGGAAAAAAAAAAAAAAAAAAAAAAAAAGGGGGCCTATAGAAAGAAAAGGAAAAGAAGTAGAAAATATCCTAAAATACGATTGTGTCCATGAGTGTAGTTAAAAGGAGGAAAATTTGTCTTCATTTACAATAAATAGTGTCTCACAAGTGTGTGTGTGTGTGTGTGGTGAGTGTGTTTGGTAATGATGAATAGATGTGTTACTGGGGAAAAAAAAAATATTGACGGTGTTAAAATTGCTTCGTATCATTGTATTTAGCATGAAATACAAAGTAATATATGCTGAATATATGCAAAGTAATATGTATGATTGCATCCTGAGATATCAACAAAAGTCATCAAACAAAAGTATATATTAATTTAACTAAAGTAACTTATGCTGTTTTCGTTCCCAACATTTTCATACATTTTTCAAAAAAAAAAAAAAACAGCAGCAGATAAACAACACAGAACCATATACAATACAAGACCACAACCGTACACACACACACAAAAAAAATATATAAATAACAAATAATAATATATATATATATGTGTGTGTGTGTGTAAATTACTGAGTATATGTATTAAAAAACACAAATTAAACATAGTATTATTAATTTATATATCATAATTTATTACAAGATTTATTATTTTGCTATCATAATTTATTACTACTTAATAATTAATTACACAATTAATTACTTAATAATTACACAATGAGGGACACCGTTGTTTATAAGCTCATAGTTCTAAGAATTTATTTAAGGGAGTGACGAATAATCCATCCGTTACATATGGACATTTAACAGATAGCAGGAACAGTATGAGAAAAATCGGTGAGGTATTTTTTTTTAATATATTTTAAAGGCAAAAATATTTAAGCGATCTAAAAAAAAAAGAATCCAGAGGATCTGAGAGGAAATAGCGCGATGCCGTGAGTCCCCTATTTTCCTCTCACGAGATTCCTCAAAGCAAGATAAGGGGGCTTTGTAAGTGACGACAGACATGAACTGATAACGTTGGAGTCTGTTTCGGAATTGTTTAACAAAGGAAGCCACAGGCAATAAGCAATTTCAAAGTATTTTTTAATGCCTAAAAAACTGATTAAAAGTTAAAATTTATTGATTTAAACGCACATATTTATAGAAATTTGATTGAGTTTAGATGAAAGAAGGGGTACTTATCTTTAAAATTCCAGCCTTTCGTTGTACTTCCTCACATTGTCCGCTGTTTCATTTCATCAACTCGCACAATTTGAAAGTTGGTTGAAAAACGATTTAAGTATTAATAATTCCCCAAAAGGAATTTTTCTGGAATAACTCCATTTTTATGCACGCCTTTTTAAATTGTTGTAAGACGGAACGTACAAACTTTCCGAAATAGCTTTCAAAATGTAGTGGCCCAGTTATGCATGAGAAATAATTATTTTTTATTTCATATATTTGTTCATGTGTTTAATTATTTTATAAAATTAACTTTAATATTTTGTTAATATTCATATTTAAATTTCTTTATGCTGAATGGCAACTAGTTCTAGTTCTGATTCATGATTGCTAGGTTTTGGTTTCAAAACGTTGCTCGTAGCGTCGCATTTCGATAGCTGGAAAATAAAATGCAATAACTTAGCTATTTGTTTATAATTCATGCTGTTACTAGTCATAAATTAATTTTAAACATTAGTAGCCAAGGCTACATCGTGGTGACCCTGATTAATTTTCGAAATGTCAACAAATGACTCTTCTGAAACTGCTATGAAAGATACGATACAGTCACCGGAGCTTCATAAGGTGAGTGTGAAAATACCTCCTTTTTGGATTGATAAACCGGAAATATGGTTTTTTCAAGTTGAAGCTCAGTTCAAACTTAGAAATATCGTTTCAGAAGAAACGAAATTTAATTATTTAGTTTCACAGCTTGAACCTAAGTTCGTCGAAAATATTTGGGACATTGTAACGAACGATAGTGCCACAAAATATTCGGATGCTAAAATTAGGTTATTACATTTATTCAAAGAAAGTGAAAATGTACGGATTAAACGTTTGATTACTGGTATCGAACTTGGAGACATGAAACCAAGCCAACGTTTGCAGAAGTTGAGATCAGTTGCTACTACAGATGTGTCTGAAAATCTAATCAAAACTTTATGGCTGGAGAAGCTACCTGACTCCATAAAAAATATATTATTAGTTAGTGATGAAGATGTAACCAAGTTAGCGTCTATGGCAGATAAAATTAGTGATATGAATCGGAAACCAGAAGTATTTAGTACTAATGCTCCTTCTGTTCCCGCAAATGATTTGTTGCAAAGAATTACCTTTCTTGAACAAAAAAATTGATCAAGTAACCATTCGCTCAAGACGAAGGGACTCGGATTTACGTAATTCACGTTCACGATCTCGAAGCCAACCTCGTAAACGATATGACCCTACTGGCAAATTTTGTTTTTATCACTTTCGTTTTGGAGCAAAATTCATTCTAGAGAAATGCAAGCCTCCGTGTGCTTGGGTAAAAAACGATTTCAAAAACCAGGAAAACTCGAATCTGCAGTAGGTTCAGCGGCAAACGCTGCTGAAATCTGCAGAAAATATGAAGGATTGTCGCAAATTTCGTTTATTCGTTCGTGACCGAAGATCAAATTTGCACTTTCTTATTGATAGCGGAGCTGACGTAAGCATAATTCCTGCTACTTCACAGAATAAATGTAAAACTGAATATAAACTGTATGCAGCTAATGGCACAGATATTTCCACTTATGGCATAAAAACGCTAACTCTTGATTTGGGATTACGTCGTGATTTTCAGTTTCCATTCATAATTGCTGATGTCACAAAAGGTATTTTAGGAGCTGACTTTCTTCACAAATATAAATTGCTTGTCGATATAAATAAGAAAAAATTAATTGATGGCGTAACACAGCTTTGTGTCCAGTGTGATGTCGCTGCTATTTCCAGTGATTACTCAGTAACCACATTAAATAAATCCATAAAAATTTTCGATTTACTGTCGAAATATCCCGAAATTTCTAAACCTAACCTTTTTCCTACACAAATTAAACATGGTGTTACACATTTTATTTCGACTGTTGGTCAACCCGTTTATTCAAAGGCACGACAGCTCGATCCAAAACGCTTAGCTATAGCTAAAGAGGAATTTAAATTTATGCTTGACAATGGAATAATTCGTCCATCAAACTCCCAGTGGTCAAGCCCCTTGCACCTTGTTACGAAAAAGGATGGTTCATATCGTCCTTGCGGAGACTACCGACGATTGAATGCGCAGACGATACCTGATCGATACCCAATTCCTCGCATTGAAGATTTTCATCATATTTTAAGAGGTACAAATATTTTTTCTAAAATTGATTTATTCAAAGCTTATTTTCAAATTCCCATTGCAGAAGAAGACAAATGTAAAACGGCTATCATCACTCCTTTCGGTTTATACGAATTTAATGTAATGAGTTTCGGTTTAAAAAATGCTCCTGCAACGTTCCAAAGATTTATTCACGAAGTCTTTAGAGGATTAGAATTCGTTTTTCCCTATTTAGACGATATACTCATTGCATCCAGTACCCATGAAGAACACGAAAATCACCTTAAATTAGTTTTCGAAAGATTACATACATTTGGGTTAAGAATTAATGTTTCAAAATCTGTCTTTGCTGTTCCCCAAATCGAGTTTCTAGGCTACCTAATTACACCTAAGGGTTCCCGTCCTTTGCCAGAAAGAGTTCAAGCTATTACTAACTACAAACGACCAGAAACAATTCATGAACTTGAACCTGTACTTGCTTAGTTTAAATAAAGATGCAGAAAAAAGCGTTTCAGGGTCTAAGGAGCAAAAAACCAAAACGTAATCATAAAAGAAAACATTTTATACAAAATTTTTCTTTAAAGTTAATTTTATAAAATAATTAAGTATATGAAGAAATATATAAAATAAAAAATAATTACTTTGTTTTTATTAATTTTTATATTATGTTATTAATATTATGCAACAGAAAAAAAGAGTTCGTAAAAAAAAAAAAAAAAGAAAAAAAAAGGGGGAAAAAATATTACCTGAGATATTTGTTATCATTTGTGTTACGCATGTTCCATCGTTTATTGCCTTATTGGCAGTTTTCAGATAACCGGCCCTTGGCGATTTGTTGACATCTCGGAAGAGTGCGTGTGCGCCAGATTATGGTAACCTTGACAAGCGTTACAACCTGCAACCCACTCAGGGTTTTTTTCTGTTTACATAGATTTAGGAAACGTTACGGCAAGACAAAATAGAAGTTGGAAAATCGCAAATCATAATTAGTTTATATTTTCGCAAATCGTTATCGGGTGTTATGAAATCCAAGATGGCGGCCGAAAAATCGCCAAGGGCCGGTTATCTGAAACGTGCCAAATTAACTTTAATTCCGTATATTGTTGGAGGATGATACCAGAATAAAGTAAATACTTAACATCCTTACTTAATCTTTTATTAACGATACTAAAAGAATTTTTTTTAAAAACTTTTACGTATGTTTTAAAGCTCACAGCTTCCTAGATTTATCAAAATAGTTTATAAATTTATTATTATATAAGGGTACAGTTCTTGGTTGTTTTTTGACATATTTCTCTTAGTTTTAATGTATGAAACTGTGTTTTTTAATGCTTTCTTCAAAATATGCGATTTTCAGCAGAAAATTCTAATTTTTTGCACTTCTGTATTTCGATCTTAACATTTAAACATAAGAACTATACTTAATGAAACTTAAGTTCTAAAGTGATTTCAGGCCTCAAAAATTTTTTAAAGCAAATATTACATATATTACAGTCATGTAGATCAATTAAGAATTAATAAA